GTTGACCACTAAAGTCTCAGGAGCAAAGAACAATCAGAAAGGATATTCATAAGTTTCACGCCAAAACTTGTCAGAAGTTGTTAACTTTATAAAAGAATGCTTCAATTGATTCAAATGGTATCTAAAATTCAATTGGTATCTAAACTCCAAATGGTATCTAGATTCCAGCATTAAAAGAATGTAAATCTTTTGAAGATTAAATTAAGTCATGGTCATTAAAGAAAATATTTGGTTTTTGAACCATCAAATGACATAAGGATATGTGCACTTGCTGGTGATTTGTGCTAAGATATTGAAGATTTGGTTTTGATACATGATGTGTGGCATCTGAGAAAGTATCTACCAGTTTCTGATATATAATGCAAGACATCGAGTCTGTTAAGATAAATCAGGTTTTGATACGCCTACAGTATTTTGATAGCAAGCCTGGTTCTGAGATGAAGACCAGCAAATTCTAGTCAGATTCTAATGAGAGGTCTATGGAGAAGTATTCCTTCTATATTCCTTCAATTGATACTTCAAAATCATTTTGTGTGTCTTGGGATCAGGGGGAGACTCTAGACAAGCATAAATGAATTTTGAGAGTAACAGAATCAAGGGGAGCCCGTTAAGCTTATCTCTGACTCTGTGGATTTATGGTGATTACCCTATACAAATTGTTTATCAAAATAAGTTGTTTGTCATCATAAAAAAGGGGGAGATTGTAATAACAATATTTGGTTCTACATTTGGCATTTGTGTTTTGATGATAATTGCACATGTTATCTAAAAGAACAATTATGTATGATATGGTTTCTGTCTAGGGTGTGGCTGTTGTCAATATGATTCTAACTCTGGATAGCTCTCGACGCGTTCTCCTATTATTACAAGGTCAGAGAAGCTTGAAAATGCACTGCCAGCCATTCTTTCAAGATAAGAGTCATACAGACTGTTTATGAACATGTCAATTAATTCTTTGTCCAAGAGTGGTGGTTGCACCCTAGCTGCCAATTCTCTCCACCTCTGCGCATATTTCTTGAAGGATTCATCATTATTCTGAGATAGGCTTTTCAACTGCGTTAGAGTGGGAGCCACATCCAAATTATACTGATATTGCTTTAGAAAGGCACTGGTTATGTCCCTTCATGACTGGATAAAGCTTCTTTCTAAATCCATGTACCAACTCAAAGATGTCCCACTCAAACTGTCTTGAAAATAGTGAATCATCAACTTGTCGTTGTGGGTATAGGAGGTCATTTTTCGGCAGAACATCACCAAATGACGTTTCGGGAAACTAAGGCCTGCATACTTCTCAAAGTTGGGTACTCTGAATTTTGGTGGGATCACCAAGTTTGGTACCAGACATATATCAGCAACATCAAGACCAGGCGTGTCATGGACTTTCATAGCTTGAAGTTTCTCCTCAATGGCACAAAGCATTTCCTTTATGGGATTAGTCAATGGCGTCCTCTTAAAATACTTAAACTATATCTAAATCCTTTCACAGCTAAGGTTGAAAAAAGAGATAGTCGAATCTTCGATTCTCTCTCCCGATTATTTGTGCCCGAGGAGTCTTTCTTAAGCATTCAAATAATTGTCATCCAAATAAAACATCAACACATTAATTCAACTTCTCGCCTTTGCGCGATCAAAACTTTTTCTTAAAAAGACGTGTTATTTTCGTTCTACCGTGATACGGATAACGCATAAGACTCCACAAGCGAGCTACAATACACCTAAATGTTGGAACGTGAATGTTAATATCGTCCATAAAAAACACCAACAAACCGTAGGCCGAACTACGACTTCTCTGATTTCTCATACCTGTTGAGAATACATAGGCATAGAATTGCGATGATCCTAGCGAGCACTCTTCTTTCTTTTCCACATTTAGTCCTCCCTTCTTTCCCGAAAAGGACATGTTACGTCCCTTGTACCGCAAACAGGTAATGCATAAGACTCCACGAGTGAGTCGCAATACACCTAACTGCTAGAATGCGCATGTTAGCATCGTCCACCCAAACTTCCCAAGCCTTAAGAGTGGAAAAATCCAAGACGCCTCGAGCAGCCAGGCCGGTGTGACTGAATCTCTCAGCAATTCCCAAGAGGAAGAGGAGGATGAAACCAATGCAGTCATAGCAAATATTGAGTATTCTCAAGGTGCGACAGAAGGCATTAAGAACAAGAGGATTCATACTAAAAAACATCGCAGCAAACCATAATTCACACACATTAATGGTAACTACGATTTGAAAAGAAGCATTCATATCAGAAGCAGAATCACACGCATGGTAGCACAAACACGCCAGCATTTCGCACGCTTTGTAGAGAGAAAATATGCATTGTAGAAGAAAAACAAAGCATTCTATATTCACACGCATAAAAGCATCACATGCACACAGTTTTTTCAATTACAACAACACATTCAGAGGCAACAGTTAGTAACAGGGAAGGTTCAAAACAATTCCAAATTCCATCGAATCACTTACTATAAATAATAAAATCCAAAGAGATTGGATTAAGAAAAAGAAGAGGCAACATACACATGTAACATATCAGCACACACATACACAGAGAAATCGTCACAATACCTGTGTCGAGCCACCGAGGAAGCCTCCAAGAGCCACCGAACGCGGCGATTACCGATAAAACAGAGCCACCACAAGCAATTGCGCGAATTATCATCTTCTTTGATCACCTCCGCACAAACAACATACCACCGAACTCGTCGCAACTCCGCTTTTATTGACGGTGCATTTCTCTCCATTATCCCCTTGTTGCTAATAAAAATTTAAATGTTGTGTGTTTTCCTGCTTGAATTTAGTTTGCAACTTTTTAAATCCTTATAAAATAATTCCACAAGAGAATCATATTTTTCAATACAATAAATCAAGGACAACATCAGTTATAAGACAACTTTTACGAGAATTTTTTTTTCTTTTAGCACTATGGCAATTTTCGTAAAAAAATCAAATTCAAAAACAGAAATAGTAGTAGCAAAGATAGAGAAGTTTCTATTAAAAAAACTGATGTAAAATGAAATAAAGAGAATCCTATTTTATATAAAAACAATTTTGACTCAAAAATAAAAATGATTTGTGGGCCAATAATTACTTTAATCGATTAAAGCACCTTTAAAAACGACAACTTAATTCATAAAAGAAAATTCTAAAACAGTTATATGAATTAATTGATTAAGAGATCTTTCACCTTGCTATAATTGATTGGACCAAATTCTTAATCAATTAGGTAGTGTTAAAACTTCTCTAAAAATTGATAGATTCTCAAGAAGTTTTATGAAATCAAATAGTTTGAAAAAGAAATCTCTTTATGTGTAGTACTTCAAGATTTACTTTTGATCTTTTACAATTTAAATTGATGACTCTATGACACTAAGTGCACGACTAGTCGAGTTTTCACACTTTCTCTCTTTTAACAATTAATTAATACTTCAAATAAAATTTTAAATCTTTTAAATCTTCTAACTGATAAGACTTGAGATATCTTCTTCTAAATCATATGTCATACTAAATAGTTTACATTAACTCTTTCATTGATAGTTTTCAAAAAAAAACTCACTGACATTCAAAAGCCGTTGAAGTGCGAAGTTGTATTCTTTAAGAGCTCATCAATTGTCATCTTTAAAATCAACGGACGGTTTATATCTACAAACTCATAGTCCACGAATATAAGTCATATGAACAAGACTTATTAATGCCCAATCCGATGAATCATGTTCTCTAAAAATTGCATCATTTTGAAAATCAATCTATGTTTTATACATATTAGCCATCAATCTATGTTTTATACATCTTAGCAATCATTGGATTCGGTACAAATTTGTGTAAGAAAAATTTCTTCAACTTGTAGGATAACCAACGAGTTTGTAGAAGAAAATTTTCAAAATTGTTTGTCATTTGAGATAAAGAACCACGACCCTTTTAGCTTGGTTAAGATTAATTCATTTTCACCAATGTTGAAGCTCAAGGAAACAGCTATGGATTAAGAGATGAAGAGAAAATCTGATTACGAATTGGAAGAGTGTAAAACCAAACGCGATTGGTACCATATCAAAAGTTGAATTACAAAACTAAATATTTTCCCTTTGGTATTAGGAGTGTGTAAGCTTAGTGCAACCAATTCAAACATCTTGAACAAACTTAACATAAATAGTTGCTACTGTTTACTAGTTCAAAACTACAAACTAAAATAAGCTAAACTTAATTTACTAATTTCCTCTAATAACCAGTACAGAATTTTTCTCAACCTGTGAACGGAAGCAAGCTAGGTTGTAACAATGATGAAGTTTTTAGGAATTATTATAAAGTTTTTAGGAATTATTATAAATATTCCAACTTTTGTATGGATAATGATGATGATGATGAAAAGGAAGAATCCTAACAATTTTAATTTAGGATTTAAATTTTAAATAAAATTTTATTTAAAATATTCTTAAAAGACATGTTTTTGTTGGTCCAACACACTAAAATACCTTTACCAAAATCTCAATTATGACAGAAATGTCACCTTATAATAACACTACTATTATTCACCACTGTTTCTTAATTTGATACTATTAATATTAAATCCTCTCAAACGCATAACGATTAACTTCTTTTTGTTTTTAAATTACCAGGATTGTTGTACAGAACTTGAATACACAGTTGCACTACTATCATCTCAGCACCCAAAATTTATCCACAGAAACCAGCTTAGGTAGCAAGCTGCTTGGATACCATAATTCGCTCTGAAGGCATTATTATCTATCACACAAGCAAAAGAGACTTTTCTATACTCAGACACACCATTATGGGGAAGGAATGGGTCCATTGATATCAACGTTGCATCATAAACAAATACTAAAGTGAAACTATCCATCCCCAAAACTTAAACCAGGATCTGCACGTATCCACATGTATCCATGTGAAAAAAACTTATCAAAACTCATTGATATGCTGTAGTCCAAGCACGCATTCAGGAGACCAACACAAGGCTATAAAGATCCGTCAACTTTGGGAGATTCAAATAAGTAAACCAGCTTCCTTAAGAGCAGCTTTATAGTCTTCGACACTTCTTTCTCGCACCTATATTCATATGACATTAACAAAATGATTTATGAAAGTTACGTATCTTTATAATCCTTTGCACATGCATACAAAGTCTTTCATGATTCAAGCATATTATCTAGTATATACCTCTGTTACATGGGTTCCAAAATGGTTTTCAATCTTTGACATCAGCTTTTCATCCCTTTCGTCACATATCAAGTTAAATACAGCACCTATTCAATCAAATGAAACAAATTTAAAATAAGAACTTAGTATTTTGCCCCACTACTGAAAAATCATGCATGACTTGCTCAGGAGTGAAATTATAAATTAAATTCCTTTAGAGTAATGAAAGAAACATCTATTTTTCAACCAATGAAACATTGTGGCAACAACACTGTTTCTTTGAGGGAAATAACACCAACAAAATATTTGCGATTAACATGTACTTACTCTTTTGATTACAAATTCATACTATATGGAAAGAGCATGGCTAAAATACTACTATGTGAGATACATAATATTTGGCTTAAACAAGCTGAACACAATATTAACAGGAAGCTCACTTGATACAATAATATAATAGTTAATGATGACTACTTAAACATAACATCAAACAGACAATTTACTACACAACATTAAGCCGGCAGTTTTAGAAACTTACCCTTGCGCCCAAATCGCCCAGCCCTACCAACCCTGTGCAAATAGACCTCACAATCAGGCTCAGGTTCACGGCCACGGATATACTCAGCCGCATACTTCAGTGGAAGATCATAGTTGATAACCAAATTAACCTAAACAATGCAAAGGAAGGATGCATAAAAAAAACAAATGAGTCCAAGCACGCATAAAAGGAAGCAGGGAGAAAGAGAGACCAAACGAGCACCTGTTGCTGATCAAAGCCACGGGCAAGAACATCAGTTGATATAAGAACCTGAGTCAAACCATCTTTAAACTCTTTGACTATCTTGTCTCTCTCGTCATGTTCAAGAGCACCTTGTATGGAAGTAACTTCATAGCCTAATTCAACAAGGGCTTTATGCAACATTTTTGCACTATTTCTAGTGCGCACAAATATAATAGTTTGCCCCACATTCTCTCCTATTTCAAATATATAACTTTTAATCACTTCAATCTTAGCAAGTTCATCAGGAACACGAACTTTGTACTGCTTCACTGCATCTAAAGATAGCTCCTCTTTCTTCACGAAAAGTTTATTATGCTCCTTCTTCTCAACAATCCTTGTAACAAAATTCTTGACAACGTCATTAAATGTAGCAGAAAACAGAAGAACCTGCAGAAACACAAGGCAAACAAAATTCTTTTAGAAAATAAACACTCAAAAAGCAACTGTAACATATAAGAGCACACACAAACATTTGAAAACTTTATGTCTGATATGATTCTACTATTTCCTATCTAGAAAAGGGAAATGTATTACTGAAAAGAAGATCAATAGATAAATAAAAAAAGCAATGCTCCCAGTCAAGGACGAATCTTCTTTAGCCCCAGGCTATAAGAAGAACTAGGAAAATACAACCAGAAGATCAATTTTCTGCTACGTTCTTATAGAAGAAATTTCAAAAAGCTGAAAATATGACAGAAAATGGAGCTAGCTCCTTAAAAGATAACAATTAGGAAAGCAAGGTCGAACAAGGTAATGCTAGTAGACTGAAAAAAGAAATTGTTCCTCAGTACAGCCTAACCAACCACCAATTGCCACCATAAAATGTACTGTACCCATCTTCTATTACACACCTCCTAAATAATCATTCCACCTCTTGATTCTTGTATCCTCTCTCCCAATCCCTCTGTTAAGAGTCCCACATCGGACAATATATGGCAAAAACATGTGTTTATAAGTAGGGGCAATCCTCACTCTACCAACCGGTTTTGTAGGGTTGAGTTAGGCCCAACCACATTTCTTAATATGGTATCAAGAGCCTCGTTTAAGATCCGGTGGGTCACCTTCTATGGTTTCCGCTATCGGGCCACCCACCATTTATTTCCACGCTTCAATTATTCAGTCTTGAGCGTGAGGGGGTGTGTTAAGAGTCTCACATCGGACAATATATGGCATGAACATGTGTTCTTAACACCCTCTTTGCCATTTGTCAACTATGCAATTATTCCCTATCTGCTCTCTCCTCCTACCAACACCTCTGGTGCAGCATGTTTTCCTCTCATAACACTTGCAGGCCTTTATCCTCTCGAGGCCCAGTATCCTTTTCATGCACCCTCTTGCCCTTCCTACTATAATCTTGCATAATGGGCCTGTCAACATTACCCAACCAGTTCCATCTTGTCTTAAAGGTGAAATTTACAGATGACTCTATTCTCATGATCTGGCAGAATTGCTCATTTAATTAAAACTCATCAAGAAACTCGTTCACTATTGACGCCTATAAGGGCTTATGAAAAAAATAGCTCTAAGGGAACCAAAGAGACAGTTCCCACTCTTCAGTTTAGAATTGTGGAAGATCAGATGGTCCACTTGGGCTTCAATACATGAACGTCCAGATGTACCAGTTAACCATTGTGTTCAAAGGTAAATCCAGCCTATTAGCTTCAGTCCCAACCTTTTTTAATGACAAAAAGGGCCATAAAACCTTGGCCCTGGTTTCTCATTGGCGCCAGTGTTATCAGAATCTAATCGTTCATCAACCACATGGGAATATTGGGTCAATGAGTCACTGGTCAGACCGCATAAATGTGTTTATGTAAAATTAAATACTCCCTCAGTCCCAAACATTTGTCGTCACTAGTCAGACTGCATAAATGTGTTTATGTAAATTAAATACTCCCTCAGTTTCAAATAAATTTTATAAAAAAGATATGTATCTATTCAAAACATGCCACTTTAACTAGAAAGAGCAGCATGTGGATCCAAACTAAAGGGGAAGACTTTTCCCTCCCTTCTAGCTATCTTCCCATTGTAATTCATAAAATCATTTTCTGTTGTTCCCTTCCAAGTCTTTCTCAGTCCTATGAGAAAAGACTTGTACTGGCTTTTGAGAGCCAGCATTAGTGGCAGTTGGATCTGTGTGCATGCAATGCAAGGGCACAACATTATTTGGATGAGCATAATACGCTGTAAAACATCTTACTGTTTACTCTTCTCATAAAATAAGATGAAAAATGGCACTGCAGTGCACTTTAAACTTCTTTAACAAACTGTAGGAAGTGCTTAGATAGAGCCTGGTTTTGTTCATGCCTTCCCAGTGGAAAGCAATCATAATAACACATCATTTAAAAAGCGGTTGTTTGACGCATTGTTTAGTATAAAATGATGATGTAGTCTGTCTTTATGTTGTCGATAGCGCACTAAAGCGGAATAGCATGGCTGTGGTAGGGCTCGACGCAAATTATTTTGGCTTGCAAGCCTCTGTCAGCAATAGCAGCTCTAGAGGCAGATAACTGCTGCGAAATTGCAGCCCCAAACCGATATCAAACTTCTCGCTATTATGGTTTTGGGCGAAATTCCTCAAATCCTTTTTTAAATTGTTGTCTTTTTCTAGGGTATAAATGTCAATTCAAAGCCTTTTAAGGGTAATGTTCTGTGTGTTCCTCATTATGTTATGTTCTTGATCACGGACAATCATTATGTTCTTGCTCACAAACAATCATTTTGTCCTTCCTACTTTTAGTCCAATTTTGTTATGTTCTTCCCTGTTTGAGTTTTATTGCTACGTGCTATAGGTTCTTTAATATTAAGTAGGTCGGTCTCTATTGTGTATTTTTCTATTTGAGTATTATTTTTACATTGTACACTGAAATTTAGTCTTGGCAAAAGAAGCTATCCCGCTATCCACTATAGCATTTTAGTGTGTTGGTGCTAGATGGCACATTTTAGGGGATTAACAACTTAAACACGACCTATTTATATCGAGTCTATGCAAGAATTTTTTGTATGAATGGATGGAAATGTCAAACATGCAAGCACACTAAAGCAAGAGAGAGACCAACAAACCTGACAGGTTGAATTGAATTTTTCTATTTCTTTCATTATCCTCAGTGAGTCATCTTTGAATCCATCCTGCAACAGCACATTTTTACAGTTACTAAGTAAATTGAGACGCATCATATTTAGCAACCAAATCCTGCTAAAAAATAAAGAGAAATAAAGTATGACAAATCAAGTAAGCCAAAACAATTCCTTGAACCTAGAACTGGGTCTTAGTATGTCCTACATATTTACTTGGAACTTTTTTTTTACTTGGAAGTAACTACTAGCTAGAACTACATAAAAAGATGTGTTGTTTAATAGCAAACTCTTCTCCTTAATCTATCGCAGGTAGGGGAGAGTCATCTTAATATCTATAAAAAAATCTTTGGTCTGCAGGCATTATTCATGCCATTTCTGCAAAGGTCGTTTATGTAATTCTCCCAGTGGTCCACCACAACAAAAAACCAATCACATATAAGTTTTAAGCTGCTTCATAAGTGGCAACTCTAAGCAGATTAAACACCTCTCACCAATGCAACATCAGCTCTTAATGTCAGCACCTTTTCATAGTCCATAAGAGTATAGCACTAAGTTAGGGTAGAAGACATAGTCTTTACATAAGTGATGATGTGTAGGCGGAGTGGAGTCAGAAATCAAGCATGGGCATTGCTAAGATGGAAATCAGATAAAAACCAAAAACTGCAAAGGGTTGGTTCATCTTTGTTTTAGTATATCAGCAAAAGATGGATTGTGGGAGCTATTGCTGAAGACTTATAATTTTGGTAGTTGTTGATTCATTTTAGTTGTCTCTGTTGTCTCGTTAAGGGAATTGCTGGGGTATTAGAATTTTGTGTAATGACCCCGTGTGGTTGATGTTGTTCATTATGGGCCCGAAAAGAAGGGAAGTGATACAGAATAGCACACTTCAGTATAACACGAGTACAGCATGCAGTGGCATCTGAAATTCTGAATTATAATCTAATAATGTTGTGTCGGGTATCTACTAATGTTCGTGCCAGGTATCTAATAGTGACATACTCTCACATGTAAACACGTCCATAAGGTCTTGAAATGGTTTCGGTTTATGATAATTTTTATAATTATGTTTCTTGTACTTTTATACAACTCTACACATAAAATAAGACTGTAGCCACCCTCCTTTTCTGATGTACCTCACTAGACACGTGGGCCCATGTTTACTATTCTACAACAATAACAAAAACAAAAACAACCGCAACCAAGCCTTATCCTACTAAGTGGGGTCGGCTAGTTTACTATTCAACATCGATATTAATATATATAGTACCAAACAAAATATGTGGCTATCAACATTGCACTCACAAATCATGCTGTAGAGTGGAAATTCCAAAAGGATAAAAACTATTGATTCACTATAATAAAACTTTAAATTGTAATTTGTAATAATATATACAGTTCAGTTCCAAATAAAGTACAAAAACTTAACACATTCAAAAGGCGTATGAAAAGACTTGCAACTCTTTGCAAGGTTAAAAAAAACTCATTTATCAGTTGCAGCAAATTAGAAATCAAGTGGGCTATGCTCTAGTTATCTATTCACTGATTAAATCGGGGTATAACTAATTCTCCAATAATACTAAGAAAGATGGTATGGTTGTTCTTGTAAGCCTAGTTAAACAATATCAACTCAAAATGACAAAATTTACCTCAGCAAGCATTTGATCAGCCTCGTCAAAAACAAGAATCTTCAATCTTGTAACCCCAAGTTTCTTATAAGTCATCAAATTCTTAATCGTGCCTGGAGTACCAATAACAATCTGAGCCATAATAGGCGACCTTTTTGAAATTGGAATCGAATCCCTTCTGTCCATAGGAACTGCACATTCTGAGCTGATCCCTGTGTACTTCCCCATCTTCCGGAGAACTTCAATGTTCTAAAACACAAGCCAACAAATAACAAAATCACGCCACATTGTTCAACACAATCTATTATGAAATCAGAAAACTTAAATCAAAATCAAACAAGGGAAATAACTTATGTATTAGCATAAGCATTTGTGAAACTTTTTGAAAGGGTTTATTAAATTAGCTTATAATAAATCGATGTGTAGATTTTAACTTATTTCCATATAAGCTCTCAATGAGAGCTTACAGAAAGAAAAAAAAAACGTTTACAGCTTATATAAAAATGGTTTGACTTTATTTAATCTAATAAAGAAATATAAATTTATAGCATGTGTTGGTTATATGCGGTGAAAAGAAATGATTTTGAATGAATTGATTCTATACTACACCTCTAGCTTCAAGTAGAATCAATTCTTGAGGCAAAAAATCAATTCGACTTTAGAATAATCAAGTAACTCCAAATCATTCCAAAATCAATTCTACACCTCAAGAATTGTTTTTGACCCTTCCAAACGCTAAATCAAACATAAGCTAAGAGGTTTATGCTATAAGCACTTAACTAAGTTGTTAATCCAAACTCGGCAAAAAGCAAAGCATTTAACCTGAATAGCCAACTCTCTAGTGGGGCAAATGCAGAGAGCTTGAGGAGCTTGCAAAGTTGGATCAACACGACTAAGCATCCCAAGCACAAAACAAGTGGTTTTCCCTGAACCATTATGTGCTTGTGCAATCAAATCCCTATTAGGAGGATTGAGGATCATTGGCAAGCTCACTGCTTGTATCTTGCTAGGTTTTTGAAACTTCATCTCTACGTATAGTCCCTTCAGAAGCTCTGCCGATAAAGACAGCTCTTCAAATGTCGCTGCCGAAGTGTAGGGAGTGTCACCGGATGTAACCTGCATCATAATTCAAAAAGCGTAAGTCATAATTTCAAGATTTGGAAGAGGAAAAAGAGAAGGAACGATGGTGAACCGCTTGGATGTTGGAGTCATCGGGATCGTCTAAGAACTTTGCAGAAGACTTTTTGTCCTCGTCAATGGCCAATTCATCGACGTTGAGGGTTGGTGTTTCGGCAGTGGAGCTTGAGGATGGGTTGGTTTCTTCGTCTGCTTGGTCGGCCCAGCTCTTAGTCGCCGGTGGAAGAGAGGTGTTCGACGGTTCTGCCATAATAGGGTTTTGAAGTTCCGGTGGATGGAATTAAAGCGGCGAATGATACTTCAGTTGGCAGTGTGAATCAGAGCAGGAAAGGGAGAAGATCTGTAGCGAAAATGAAAAGAGGGAAATGGGAAAGGTGGCCGGAAGACTCTGGCGGCGGAGGTCAGATGGAGGTTGAGAAGTGGTGATAGCAGTTAGGGTTACGGCAGTTACTTACTAGTACTAACTCTTACGATCAAGGTTGCGTCCAGATAAAGCACCTACAAATCTTAGGCAGTGAAATCTATGCAATTATGCACTCAAATTTATTTTACTTTTTTAAATAAAAAATAATATAGCTTGTAGTATGACTTAATATTTGGTATAATAAAGAAATGTTTTAAAAATCGGACCGGTCATCAACCGATGAAGGTACTGGATTGCTGGTTTATTGGTCGAACCATTGGATCATTGGTTGAACCGCATGATTAAATCGAATTAAATTGGATAATTCAACTGAGTAAACTGATCTCTATAAAAAATTATATATTTAATAAATCGATCGAACCGGATGACTCGGTCTCTAAAAATTATGACGACGCCTACAAAACTTCAAAATATCATAATTCCACAAGTTCATTCTTTAAATTCAAACTCTTGACATAGTCATCACGCACGACAAAATAGTACAAAATACAAATCCAAATAAATTTTGAACAATATTTGATTACAAACGAAGAAAAATTGTTCCAAATAAGTTTTGAATAAAGTCTACTAATATTTTAATTTTATTTAAAATAAATAAATTATTAAATCGGTGTCGTTATTATGAAGAAGAAAAAACATGCATTTAAACCGCCAATTCACCGATTTTTAGCGGTTTTGGCCGGTTCCCACTGGTTCAATAGCATATCTAATCCAGCAATCAGACCAGACCGGTGACCTTTTCAGTTCCCAGTTCGACCAATCCGATCGGTCGGTTCGGTCCGATTTTTAAAACACTGACTATTAGTCTCCATTTTTAAATTTAGGGTTGTTAAATAAATTTTAGAAAAAAAATTGTCTCCGACTACTTTTATTGATTGATATGTCATAGTCCTTAATAAGGGTGGAAATAAGTTAGATCGAGTTAAGTTTTGTCTGGTCTGTCAAAGAAATCGAAGTCTAAGTTTAATTTGTAATTTGTCACATGCTTACTTTTAAGCATGAGCTTGTCATTTTCGAAGACTTTGTTAACCTATTATTAGCCTTTAAGAGTTTATTTATTTTAGACATACATATATAAGCAATTCAAATAGTATTTAAATAAACTAACAAACTAAAATACTAATGAGATTAAAAGTTTGTTTGCATTGATTTATTTTAACTTATCTATTAGCATAAGTTTTATGAGAATCTTTATTTAAGAGAAGTTATAAAAACAACTTATGACATTGTTCATAAAGTGTTTTCATCTTATTTTCATAAGTTCTCCAAAATGACCCAATTTTATTTATGTATTTTAATTCAAAATACAGAACATAACATAATGTTAATTAAAAAAAACTATTTATATTTATTTAAATATGTTGGTTGGATAGGCTTAAAAGATTTTTGTGTGGTCTAAGACCTAGTCATTTTAATTAAATAGGTGAAGGTGAGAAAATACTTAGAAGGGGGTTGAATAAGTATGAAGATAAAAAGTTAGAAATAAAAACTCAAGTATTTTTATCCTGGTTCGTTGAACTCAACTACTCCAGTCCACCCTTCCTAGAGTGATTTGTCTTTCTCAAACAAGGACTTAATCCATTATTTAATCAACTGATTACAATAGTAAGCACTAAGAACAACTGTTCAAAGTCTTCTCAAGAACTACTGATCCTAACTGGATTTTTTAAGGTTTTCTTACAATCAAATGTAATAACAAATACAAGTGTTAAAATGCTTCTAATAAAGCTTTATCACAACTGTGATTTTTCACTTAAGATTAAGAACAAAGAAATTAATTCTAGAAAGAATATGTGAGTTTGTATGAGAGCTTTGATAATGAATTCTTTTCAAGTGATACGTCAACTGAAGAAGATAAATGGAGACTTGCTTTTATAGGCACAGTGAACCAAAAGTATTTCACGTTGAGAAGTGTGTACCAAAAGGTCTTAGCCTTTTTTGTCTTCACATCAAGTGACATTTCCTAGAAGAAGAAAACACAGAGAAATCCTTTTTATCTGTGTTCTTGTGTCTAGCATAAATAAGGAAAGAGTCGTTTGGATATTCTAACGGACATAATCTTTGAATTCTTCTTCAACAATTTTCAGCAAGAATCATCAAAGTCTAATTTGGTCAAAGCCTTCTGATGTTGGTTAGAGTTTTGCTGAATCAGAGTTTTTGCAGCAAGCGTGCTTTTAGCGTGTATAAGTTCAGAGCAGAGTTTTGAGACAGATCCTCAGTACTGGCAGCGTTAGTACTTTCAGAGTCTTCTGAATTAGCTATGCTTGAAAACTCTTCATACAGAATTCTTCATTGGTTCAGATGCTTCTGACTTTCTTCAGATTCTTCTAGAGCTTTTGCTTCAGATCCTTCTGGAGGCAGCGTTCAGAATCTTCTAATAGGTGCATCTGACGCTTTAGAGCCTTGCATATTTCTTATGTTCAGTTCTTATTTGCTTCTGGAGTGATATTTACTTTAATATCTGCAGCAAACATTCTTAAGCAAATTTTAGAGTATATAATTCTTAATTACAAAATTTCATAATAGTTATCATCAAAACATAGAGATATTATTAAGAACCAATCTGTGTTCTAACAATCTCCCCCTTTTTGATGATGACAAAAACATCAGAAATTTTGTTTAAATGTAAAGAGAATAATTATAACTCCCCCTGAGATGATGAATCTCCCCCTGAATTAAATATTAATAAGGAATAGAAACTTCCCTTTTTGTCTTGAGTATTTTTCAGAGTTAGAGCTTGATTGTTCTAAACATTTGAGAGTCAGAGTGTCTTGCATATTTCAGAGTCAGAATCTGATAATTGTCATATGATCTGAGAGTCTCAGAGTTTCTTTTACAGAGTATACTTATCAAATGTTCTGAAATACTCAGATATTATGTTAGATAAAATTGATATGTCTGAAGTTCCATTCTGGTAAAGTTTAATTAAACAGTTCAGATCTATTTTCTTCCCCTTTTTTGTCATAAGCAAAAAGTAAGAACTATGAAAAGACAAATAGAAGAAAAAAAACAAACGAGATAAATTATATAGAGAAAACTTTGAAACATTCATTCATTCAGAGCAAAAAGTATAAACATCAGACAATATTCAAGTACATGTGCAAACATTAGATGCAAACATCAGAAAATAAACTAAGATTATTTTGACAAAAGCATCTTCAACAGATCCGTGATCTCAGAAGAGGACTGTTCTTATTTTGACATCCACTTAGCCATAGTTTCATTCTTCTGATCTTGTTTGGACATCCACTGAGCCATGTCTTCAGACTTCTTATCTTGCTTAGCCATTCATGACTTAATCTCTGATTGACCAGCTTCCAGAACTGCAATCTTATCTTCAAGATCTGGATACTCTTTCTTGATCTCAGATGAAGAAGGTGGGACAGTTTCTGAAGCTTGAACAGAGTCAATTTCCATAGGGGCTTTGGAGTCAGGAGCAGCAGATCCAGATGGATGTTCTACCAGAGTCATAGCCAAAGAGTTATCTTCAGATGCAGATTCAGTATTCTCTTCTGATGATGAAGGAGCATCTTTAAGAAGCAATGGTCTAGATCTCTTAACAGTCCAGAACAGACTTCTAGCAGTTTCAGCAAATCTGAGCTTCGCATCATCAAAGCATACGTTCTTTAGTTTTGATGCTACAATATTGAATCTGTTTATGAAGCCATTTCAAATGACATCAGATTCATTTGCATCCATTGTTGATGAACACTTCCTCTGTACAGAGCCTAAATACATCAGTATTTCTTTCAAAAAACTTGTAAATAAATGATCAACATTCAGCCTAGGTTTTGGGTTTATAAGAGTTTCCAAAGTGATTGGTCTGGGTTGGGGAGAAGGTGAAAAGATGGATTTATGAATGGTGATCAGAGGAGGAGGGTAGTATGGTATGAATGGAAGATCAGATGATTTGTCAGGTTTTGATTTGGTTAAAGCATTCAACAGACATGATTTTGCAGTTGATGCATGGGAAACAACATCAAATGGTTTATCAGAGTAAGGTTTGAATGCAGATTTAGCAGAGTATGGTTTTGCATCTGATGAAGTTACTGCTGGCAGTGTTTTAATATACGTTTGAAGAACAGATGGTAGAATGATGGTAAGTTTGGGTTTAAGAGGAGTGATAGTGTCAGATGGTTCAATTCTGGTGTAGAAGTTTTTGAATTTGAAACCAGAGGGAAGTTTGTCAAAAGAAAACAGTTTACACGAAGCAGAGGGTACACACTCAGATGTCCTTGGCTTGGATGTAGGGGTAGTATTGGGAATGATAATTTCAGAAGATGGCTTAGGTGTTGGGGTAGGATTTGGAATAAGAATGTCAGAAGAAGCAGGTGGTTCTGGTTGGTTTACTTCAGAATTTCTGTGAGAGGGAGATATCAGAAAATCTGGGTGTATGTCAGATTCTGATGAATTTGAGGATGTGGTTGGAGTGTAAGATGTGGAGGACACTTCAAAAACAGTTTTGAGAGGTGTAATGTTTAGAACCTCTGTCTCAGGGATATGGGTTTCAGATGGGTTGGTTGATTCTGATGGATTCTCAGAAAGTTTTGATGGGGGTTCAGATGTAGGTGGTTATGATGTAGGTGGATCAGATGTAGGTGGTTCAGATGTAATAGGTGTCGCTACTGCAAAAATTGGCGCCGGCTGAACAGAAGAGTCGCTACCGTGCGTTATTTATCCCAACGGAGGGAAAGGAAACGCTCAGAGTAAACCTACCGCAAAGACGGGAAAGGAATGGTCATCGCAACCAAATCCTGGATTCAAACTAACCTAATGTTATCATGCATGGGTTAAGACCTAATGTCTATCATGCTCCTCTCTTGCGC